ATACAGCCATGGCTCATGACGTAAGCATTGATTCTCATGATGTAAGAGGCCAAAAATCAGCCTATAAATAGCCATTTCGACCCTAAGCTTCCTTACACTAAATTGTTTTCTCTCACTCTCTCTCTCTCTCTCTCTCTCGTTTGTTGAAGGTGTTCCGCATCCCGAGCCCGACGATCACGAACCGCTGACCGTTTCTAGTTAGATTCTATGAAAATCAAGCTACTAATGTGATTTCATATTCCTTTTCATGAACATGACTTTAATACAAGTATTGATTAAAGTGTTAATTTATATGTATATGTGTGAAATATTGATATTACCTAAAATACGAGTTAAGAGCATACCTGATAAATGTATGGTTATTTAGGATACATAGTAGACCTAAATAAATTAAGAGGGATATTGGGTAGTATCTCCTTGTGAGTACGAGTGAGATATACACGGAGGGAATAACTTTAAAACTTGTCATTGATCCAAGAGTATGGATAGGACATAACTATTTTTTATTAATCCAGGAGTATGGATTAACACATAGTTATTTGTTATTAATCCGGGAGTATGGATTAAGACTTAGTCAATTGTCCTTAGTCCAAGAGTATGGATAGTTATTTGTTATTATCCGGGAGTATGGATTAAGACATATTTATTTGTTATTAATCCGGGAGTATGGATTAAGACATAGTTATTTGTTATTAATCTGGGAGTATGGATTAATTCATAGTTATTTGTTATTAATCCGGGAGTATGGATTAAGTCGTAGTTATTTGTAATTAATCCAGGAGTATGGATTAACACATAGTTATTTGTTATTAATCCGGGAGTATGGATTAAGACATAGTTATTTGTTATTAATTTGGGAGTATGGATTAAGACATAGTTATTTGTTATTAATCCGGGAGTATGGATTAACACATAGTTATTTGTTATTAATCCGAGAGTATGGATTAAGACATAGTTATTTGTTATTAATCAGGAGTATGGATTATGAAATAGTTATTTGTTATTAATCTGAGAGTATGGATTAACACATAGTTATTTGTTATTAATCTGGGAGTATGGATTAAGACATAGTTAATTATTTTTAGTTTAATTAATAGCTTTAATGCGGGTCCCGACCAACTCTAAAATTAGGGTTTCTTGATATTAGGGTTTTTTAAACCCTAATTAGGGTTTCCAACTACTAAAGTTAAATGATTATCTAATTTAATAAATATTTAATCAATAAATTGGGCACCACCCACTGCTACCTCGGGCAGTGGTGATCGTCAGCGGTCCATGGCAGCAGGAGGCGGCAACCAACCACACATGGTGGCAGTTTGAGTAATAATTCCTACAGTCCAATACACATACAATTTCGACATTTTGGATTGATTCATTGATTCCCAATTAAACTTTATATATATATATATATATATATATATATATATATATATATATATATATATATATATATATATATATATATATATATATATATAAGGTTATATAACTCATTACTCGGTACCTGTTCGGCCGACTACCGAGTAGCGAGTACTCAAAAGTACTCAGGGAGTACTCGGATTTTGTAATTCACGTAGAAATATTTTTAGGGAAATTATATATGTCAAAATCATAAGTTAAAACCATAAGTTGATTGAAATATGTAACATAATTAGATAAATGTGAATACACAAAAACTAAAAAACATATAATAGCCTCACTTCGTGAGTAATTACTGAAAATTTAAGATATATATGTTGTAATAGTCACATATGTGTTTTTTAAATAATAAATCATTAAGTATATTATACATATTAATCACCGAGTTGACCGAGTTTTACAACATTACTCATATCAATAAGGGGTCGATCGGGTAGTACTCGGGATTCTGTAACTTGCATCGGTAAGGGACCGAGTAGTGAGTACTCAGAAGAGTAATTGGCTAACTCGGCCAATTTTACAGCACTGCATATATATATATATATATATATATATATATACACACACACACATACTATAGTTAGCAATATATATATATATATATATATATATATATATATATATATATATATATATATATATATAGGAAGGATCATTTGAGAACTTATAGTTTCCCGAGAACTAAAAGTGGACCATTAGATTAAAAAAATTAAGGGCTAAGATCTTTTATGTCACGTTTGTGAATAAAAGGGAAAATTAAACACCGGGGTATGATTCAGAAATTAATCTAAGGGCATTTATGGTACTGAAAAGTTATTCCACCAAATCAATCGATGCCCTCTTTCTCTCGATCCATCGATCGTCTTCATCTTAACATCCTTCTTTCTCTTATAGATTCATGTCGATCATTGCCCAAGAACCAGCATCCAGCATCTAAAATATATAGTTTCCTCCGTTAACTGTTTCACTATTCATTGAATCGAGTTAGGTGAAGAATTTACATGACTCGTTGAAATCTAAGATCCTTTGAATCTAATTTCTAAGCCATAAAATTTCGTGATTTTCCCGTTACGTTGTCTCATCGTCAACGACCACATTGAAAGGTGAAATTTAGGCTACCAGACTATCAATCGGCTTCCTCCTCCCTTCATCGGCCACCTCTACCATTTTCGACTGTCACTCTACCCATAGATCCTCCTTGGATTAATTTCTGAACTTCTGCTTCATGATTTGCACTTCGGTAGCTCTTTCCGCCTCTGTCTTAATTACCGATGTGGATTCAGTTTCCACTTTCATTGTCGTTGTACCTAGGAAGTTGCAGACGGATGACTTCACCATTGTTCGTTTTTTCCAAAATAGTACTCCTTTTGTTTGTCTACATTACCAATTTAGCTTCCAGGTATTTAACTTTTTTGTTCCGATTTTGATGGATACTTGTTTTGTGTCCTTTATTATGTTTGTTGGATTTGATGGATTTGATACATATTGATAAAATTAGAGTAATTAAGCACAATTGTTTTTGTAGTATAGTATAACCGTAAATGATCCAATACTTTTGAACATATTTTTAAATTTAAATGCTCACTTCATAAACTGAGACATATGAGCGGCTGCTAAATGAGTGTAACAAATTGGTGCAACTACATAAAACCAACCATTCATTATTACTAGAAATGCCACTGCTTTTTACAAAATTTACAACTTTAAAAATACTTCAACTTACCAACAGATATGGCAGTAGTGCTTCTCTGGTAACTGTAATAATAATAACAATTCAAAGTTAGAAAATTAATAAAAATTAGATGATTTTCATAATATTAAATATTTATGGAAGGAAGGGGCATACATATAGGAGAGGGTGTGGACAAGCTCCTGAAGATCATCAGCCGAGAACCCAATTTCATCGTACAGAGCATGGTAATAAGTGGGTCTGCTTGTCCCATGTTCAAATATTTTATTTTATTGCAATCACAATTATAAAACTATTGCTTTTTAAAGCCAAACCAAAACATGTAATGAGATGTGTATTACAGGAACTTCCATTGAAGTGCACAAAATTCAGAACATGTAAACAACTTCTACAGATGGTGGACAAGTAGTATACCACACACACATACACACACACACAAGGTCAACCAAATAATGGTGGACAAGTAGTATAGTGCATTACAGGAACTTCCATTGAAGTGCACAAAATTCAAAACATGTAAACAGCTTCTACAGATGGTGGACAAGTAGTATAGTGCACACACACATACACACACATACAAGGTCAACCAAATAATGGTAAGTAAGAACATCATAATCATTTTGATGATACCCAAATCTTTGTACAAGATTGTTGAAGAGAATAATAATAGTAATAAAGAGGAGGACCTCTCTATGGTTGAGATGACACAATTAGAAGAAGAACTTGATGCTGCTCTTATGCAAAGAAGATCAAGACAGATGATTCTTTTCATTTGCTGCTACTTGTTTAGTTTACCTATCTATTTTATTTTTTGAATTAGTCATTGATTAGTAGGATCTTAATTATTATGAGATTTAGAAAAAGGTAAAACTTTTTTGAAATCTGTATATTGACAGTGACAGTGATTATGGTTGATGATCTTTGCAGACACAGTTGATGATGGAGTACGTATCCACCTTCCAACAATAGGTATATAAATAAAAATATAAAAAGAAAAGAATCATCTTTTTGGAGTATTATTACACAAATTATAAGATCCATAGGGCACTTACTATATTCCTCTTACTCATATAATAGCACTTGATTGTCCCAATCGTGAAATCCAACCAGTGTCTTTATTGCTTGTTTATGTAACGAGGCTAATTTATATGATTAAGATCATACACATACATACCCCCCTTCAATTCTCTTGTTTTTGTATGTTTAATACCAATCATACCAAGTAAGAACCTGCATAAACAAAACATCAGTCTAATCTACATTTATCATTGTGATTGTGAGCAGGAAAAGGATTTAATCAAAGAAAATGAAAAATCATACAACAGGTAAATCTATTATCCCTAAAAATTGAAAGAAGTCTCATTTAAAAAAACAATTATGTCTAACTTTACATTTAGAAACTTTGATAATATAAATAACATATAAGAATATGTCACCAACATATAAGATATTTTAGTTTTTGAATGTAAACTTCAAATCCAAATATTCTTATCTAAATGTCTTAACACCATAAATTTTTATACCTAATTGATACATAAATAATTCTTCAGTTAATCAATAAAGGAACTCTTATATTTCCATGATGTTTAGAGTATACAAACATTGTTGTAGGAAGGAAATCATATTTTAAAAGATAACAACTTCAATTGCAAAATACATAACCAAATTTAACTGTTATATGCTTTTCATTTAGACTCATTACTAACCTCAAACAAATGAATTCCATACATGGTTGCTTTAAAGCATAAGAACCTAATATGTACAGCATTGTTAAACCCTTCATCAGCAGATCCTCTAGTGTGGCCTTCACCATTGAAATTCATTAGTGAGCTCCAATAAAGTTCATTAATTCATTAGTGTTTCATCAGTGAGGACAAAGAGGCCATTGAAGATGGACCCTTCTAAAGACTACATTGACTTATCATCAATCAACTCTATTGATGTGGTTTCTGATTCATCACATGTTGAAACTCTTTCATCTTCAGAAGAAATGTCTGTTATTTCTTCAGATCATCTTGTTGTCCGATTCATGAATCAAAATGGAACACAGAGTTATAACATTGATGGGATTGCAAATGTAATTTCTCTCATTTTGTCCAAAAGATGTTAATACCCTTGTGTTGTGTATGTGTTAATAATCTTGTGTGGTGATTGCTAGGTACTACTAGCACTTGATAGGATTGAACAAAATGAGGAGTTAACATATAAGGTAATTAATTACTCTTTAATCTCTATTGGAGGGTAAATTTGTAAATAGTTCTTGACTGATCTTTTTTTTATTTACGGCCATTACTCTCACTTGAAGCAAATATATTCCTTGGTGGGCTTAACTTGTATGATCAACATAGGGACATGAGACTGGATATTGTTAACATGTCATGCAAGGTTTATTTTATTTTATAATCTATTAATGTTGCCAACATGATTAATAACCATGTCTGCCTTAATGATGTTCTGGTTAACCGGAGAAAACCCACTAAACCAAATACCATTCCATGGTCAAATCCGGAACTTGATTAAGGTACCTTGTTTTAGTAGGTCCTGAGGAAAGTCAATGGTTGTACGCATCTGGTCCTTGCACTCTAAGGAAATTGTCATTTTTTACCCATATAGTTTCAATATAAATTTTTATCATGTTTTTTGTAATTTATATATTTAATCCAATTTGTTAGTCAAGTGTTGGTTTGGTTGAAAATTATACATGATGATAAAGCACTATACAAGTTATTTTTGTTAGATGAGAGTAGCAGTGGATGACTTTCTACTGAAAGTCAACTTATGGTGAGTCATGTTGTATTCTCTTGGATTCTAATATCTTATTTAAAATTGGTTTATAACTTTGAAAGTAGATTTGAATCTTTCATCTCTATTTTCTTTCTTAATACAACTCATGGGCAGTTTTCTTCTTTATTTGATGGGCATAATGAGTTCAACACTTAAATCTGGACAACTATGGTTGTTTCTTTTTTACTTATTTAAATTTATATAAAGTTCAACGTTGTAATTACATGTGATTCACATGTAAATCAAGGAATTACATTCGATTCACATGTAAATCACATATAATTCACATATGAATTACATGTGATTCATATGTAAATCACATATGAATTCCATGTAATTCATATGTAATTCACATATAAATTACATTCGATTCATATGTAAATCATATATAATTCACATATGAATTACATGTGATTCACATGTAAATCACATATGAATTACATGATTCATATGTAAATCACATATGAATTATATGTGATTCACCATTAAATCACATGCGATTTATATGTAAATAATATGTGTGAATCACATTTGATTCACATGTAATTCACATTTGATTCACATATAAATCACATGTAATTTACATATGATGTCATATGTAAATGTGATTCATATGTGAATCGCATGTAAGTCATATGTTAATCACATGAAAATCACATATGTATTTTTGTGAGTGCTTTCGCATCAATAAATTTTTTTTTTCTTGTAGATTTGAAAGAAATTGTGGTCAATATTGAAGATGTGAAAAGTGATAAATTGAAAAAACTAAAGAAATATTGAAACGAAGACATGAAAACGCTTTGAAATTTGTAGCATATTTTTTATATTTTTATTTTGTATCGAATAAAATATTTTTACTATTATGTTTATAGATTAATTAATAAATAAAAGATTTGTTATAATTTACTTACGGATATTATATTATAAGAAATGTACATATGTGCATTTGAAAAAAAAAATATGTTCATGTTCACTAAATATTTACTTTTTTTTTAAATTCAGTTTTCTTTTTTTTAAAAATGCAGTTTTTTTTTTTTTTTGAAAAAAAATGTAATTTTCTTTAAAAAAAAACTTATAATTTTTATTTGAAAATGCAGTTTTTTTTTTTTTTTGAAAAAAAATATATTGTTTTCTTTAAAAAAATTATTTTTTCAATTTGTTTTCAAAAATTCATGTTTTCTTAAAAAAATTAAAAAATCTACATTTAAAAAATACGAAAAATACTATTTTTTAAAAAAACAATATGAAAATTTGATTTAGCATGTAAAATTTTAGACATTTATATTAATATGTTAAATAACACAAAAAAATTAAACATTAAATGAGATTGGTAAGATGACGATCATGTGCTTAATGAATTACTTTTGATCTAACGTCCCACTTTTAGTTCTCGAGTTCTCGGAAAACTATGAGTTTTTCAACCGATCTCAATATATATATATATATATATATATATATATATATATATATATATATATATATATATATATATATATATATATAGAGAGAGAGAGAGAGAGAGAGAGAGTTAGGTTCAAATGTTTAACTAAGTATTGAGTTATTGTATGCATAAATGTGGGTCAATCAAAATTAAGGGTAATTTAGTAATTTGCTTAATAAATTCCATAAATAATCCCTATAATCATGGTATCTCTCCAGTTTAAATCTCGTTCTCCTCTTTATCTAAAAATCGATTCTGAAAACCCTAAATTAAACAAATCGACACTAGAGACCCTTCATCGTCTTCTTCAAAAATCGGTAGAGGGAAGAATCAAGTGATCAAGCGTCGAACAAAGGTGGTTTTGGTGGTCGTATTGGGATCTTCCATCGGGGTTTTGAAAATGGAAGCGGTATTAGGATCGTGGAGATGTTGTTTAGATGCAATATACTTGTGTTAGTTGGAGGCGGTTCTCAGCCTCAGTACCCTTTAAATAAGGTTATGATACGGGATGATCATCAGGGTTGATGCATTGGTGAGCTATCTTTTCGATCGGAGGTTCGTGGAGTTCGGTTAAGGCGAGATCGGATAATTGTGATTTTGGAGCAGAAGATATCTGTATACAATTTCACGGATTTGAAGTTATTGCAATCGATCGAGACATTTGTGAATCCCAAGGGCCTTTGCGATGTTTCACAAGCTTCTGGTAGTTTTGTGCTTGTTTGTCTCAGATTGCGGAAAGGACAAGTTAGGGTTGATCATTACGCTTTGAAGCGAACAAAGTTTATCTTAGCTCATGATTCAAGAATTACGTGCTTTGCTCTGTCACAGAATGGAAATATGATTGCCACAACCAGCAACAAAGGAACTCTTGTTCGTATCTTCAGTATCCACGACGGGTCATTGTTGCAAGAGGTTGGCGTTAATTTGGTTAAATTCATTTATGATTATGGATAATTTTACACATGTCTTTGTAATTATTACAACTTTGATGATTTTAACCAAGCTCATTAATGGTGGGTTGGGATACTACTAATAACAATTAGGTAAGGATAGGTGCAGATAGAGCTGAAATACATAGCCTTTCATTTTCTCCTACGGCTGAGTGGCTTGTAGTCTCAAGTGATAAGGGTATTATTCATGTTTTCAGCATCACATCTGTCGATAATCCAGACCTCATTACCAGTTCATCTCGTATGATGTAGTTATTGATATTTTCTCACAAATCTTTAAAAAAACAGGAATTATTAAAACAATCTACCATACATTTTATCCATTACTTTTAGTATAGAGGTCCTGATTGTAATTCGTTATGCCATTTCTGAAAACAGTACTACTTCAGTGGACTGAATTGAGACTTCAATGGGTTGACCATAAAATGTCAAAGAACAGAACAAAAGCTCAAGAACCCGTTTTAAGGTTTTAAATTCATATTTCAATGGATTTTTTTTTCATTTTCTCATATATATTTTAAACATTATTTATCAATTTTGTGGTTAAAGAAGGAAGGTGGCATACAATATGTTACAAGAGGCCAGTTGTATCCTACCCAAGTGATTTTTTACTTGCATTTGATATTTCACAATTACATAAATTTATTGCTGCCTTAATATCTTTCTTGTTATTTCAGATCCTGTTTGGCTTTCTGTACATTGTGAATCTTGGAATAATCTTATTTGTTTATGTAGATGATTCAATGGATGATATTGTTGAGATTCCAATTCGATTGGAATGGAATGACGAATTCCAATTCTGTTGGAATAGAATGACGAATTCCAATTCTATTGGAATCACAGAAGTTGATGCTTGAAGAACGGACCACATAATTCTTTTAGAATGTATTAGTCGTTGTTAGATTTTGATATTTTCTTCCCCATTTTGATTGTTTTTTTATTTTTATTCTTTAACAATAAAAGTAATTCTAAACAATTGTTACCCGTATTCTGTAAGAAATAATGTATTTTTTGTTTTTATTCTTCAATTGATTGTTCAAGATTTTGTTATTCTACAAAAAGTTGTTATTCTTCAAGAAGTTTTTAAAGTCATCATCAAGAAATAGGTTCAATAATATTTTTATTATTTATGGTTCAAGAATATTTTTATTTTTGAATATACTCATAAACATATTCTGTCAGAATATCCGAATAAAAAGAATTATAATTCGTAAAATCGGATTTTTTAAGTTAATAGAATCTATGATCCCTTAAAAAATACAATTTTCTTTCATTAAATCTTTATTAATTGACTAAATTACCCTTGTAATTAATTAAGATGATTTTTCAATTATATTTGCTTCAATAATATATATTAGGGCTTTTGTCACTCTGACTCAACTATCTTTCGTATATTGGTTTAAATGGTCCTTCGTGACTATTTTTTGCTTTTAAAAGGCTTATACTTGTAAATGACCGGTTAATATGAGAATTTAACCCACAATCGAAGGTAAAAGAACATTTTGACTTGCCAACTAAGCAGCTTACTCAGCATTGAACTGGAGTCATGTACTCATCCTCCACCTAAGCGTCCAACTAACCTTCATTAATTAGCCATTATGTCCACCAACCATCCAAGAACCTGTAGAGGACAAGGAAGAGTCGGTGGTGGGGGCATAAAGACTGCTTCACAAATCTTTGGTGCTTCAAGTAGCATAAATCGAAACCTTTTTACCCTAATAAGCCAAACACGATTCCGACCAACACCCTAAAATCTATCAATGTCGGCTCCACCACCTCCCTCACCTGACTCGATAAATTCTGGAGAGTTTGTTAACCTCAGCGACCTGCATTTGATTTTTTGCGACTGTGGAGACAAGATTGTTGCCAACCAGATCGAGATGCAGATGCTCAAAGATCAAGCGGGTAAAGATTTCATTGTGTGCAGTGTTGATCACATCAGTCTGCATCACAAGTTGGAAGATCATGAGAGGAAGTTAAAAGCGATTGCTCAGGTGATGGGCGGCGTGATGGTGGCAATGCTTGGGATGATGATGGTTGGGATCAAAGTCCTTATGAAGCTTGGATAAGATGCTTTGGGTACAATATGAAGCTAGAATAATTATGGATTTTCTGTTCTTAGTTTTTTCTTGTTCTTTTGGGTTTCATATATAACGATCATGTTAAAAGACATGTGTTAATGACATGCATTTTGTGCGTATGTTAAGTTTTTTAATGGAAAAGGACCTGAGTAGCTCTCAGGCGTTTTGTATCATAGTACATTTGACCATTTTTAGTTTGGTTGTAAGATCATGCAAGAACAAGAATGATAACATATGTTGGGTTGTTGTACCCCACGTGCGTTGCACGGTGAGGGTATTTTTGTCATTTGATGCTTCTAATGGCTGTAAATAACCCTAGAAGACCATTTTGTTTTCTCTTTTTCAAAGAAACTGTGATCCTTCATTTTGTTTTCACTTTTTCAAAGGAACTGTGGAGTGAGATTCAAAAATTCGCACATGAAGATTGTGTGTGGGTGTGGAAGTCTAGCAATAATTCGCACATCGAAGACTGTCAATAACCCTGGAAGACCATTTTATGCATGTCCAAACCAGGTAATCGTATTCATATGTTTAGAACCCTAGTTTGATGATCGGTTTTTTAATGTTACCTTAATTTCTGTTTTAGGGACCACGATCAAGTTTCATTTCTTGGGTGGATGAAATAAAATGCAACAATGAAGACATAATTTTAGGTGTACTCCTGAGGTCGAAGAAAAACCAGCAAGCAGAGGTGTTGAAGCTGAAGCTGCTTTTACTTTGTAGTTGGGTGTTTTTTTGGGTTTAATCATTTATAAGTTGTAATCAAATGTACTTTAATCATTTATATGTTATGTACTTGGATTGGTGAATTAAGAAGACTATGTAGTTATGTGACGGTTCTTTGATGTGTTGTTGTGTCATTACCCTTAATCTAGTCAAATAAAAGCAATTGTTAATGTTCTTGGGTTGCTTAATGAAAATACCCTTACTTACAAGGACCACATTCTTGTGTCAATACCCTTACTTACAAGGACCACATTTTTGTCCATTAAGCACACAAATAGCACATGAAAATAATGGGAATTGACTGCATGTTAGGTGAAAAGTAATAGGAATCTGAAAGTCTTAAAGAAGCAAAGCATGATAATATTACAAACCATTATGAATGTAAACATACTAACTTCACACAAACAAGTAAATGACAAACAAACAAGTACAACATAAAACCATTGCCAAACATACCCATAGGAAACCATCAAATTATACCTACTCATTAAGGTCTACCGGGTTTGCACTAGTTTCACCTTTCCCATCCTTGGTCTTAACCTTCTTTGCAAGTTTCTTTTTTATGATCCTCTCAGATTTTTTCCTTTTACCACCAATTTTTTGTCCACTCCTTCCTTCATAACCTGTAGTTGGTCCACTCCTTCCTTCACCATCTCTAGTTGGTCCACTACTTCCTTCACCATCTTTACCCTTGTCAACTATTTTCCTTTTCTTGACCTTTAGTTTCATGCTCCTTAGCACCCTTGACCTTTCTACATGTGGCCTTTCAACTTTAGGACAAGTAACCTTGTTATGCCCTGATTGTCTACACACACTACACAAGATTATTTTACCTGCCTTAGCCACAGTGTGCCTTGGAAGCTTTTCTGATGCATCTCTTCTTCTATTAACCTTTGGTCTACCTGGCATTCTTCTTTTCAATGGTGGTAAGGGTGGTATGAAATCAGTAACTGGCCACATGTTGCTGCCATTTATCCCATGTATATGGTATTTGTAAGTGTTCTTGTAGAAGGCAGCATACAACATTGGATCAACATAAGTGGCTACATCTCTATTCAAATATGATATAGTAGCTACTGAGTGCACACAACCATACCCATTAAGTTGCCATACTCTACAAGTACAAGTCTTCTTGTCAAGGTCAACATCATATGATTCTGCCAGGTTTCTGGTTTCAAATTGGTTAAGACCAGTTGGTAAAACCTGCCAATACCTATTAAACCCACCTTATTAGTTAGTATGTCACTTATATTAAAAGTGTAAAGACTAGAAAGTACCTTTGAGCTCTTTTCAATTTATTTAGTAGGAGTGTTATTGATGGGCAGGGTTTGTAATCAGGCCATGAACAACCTTTCATCTTCAAATTGTACAGCCTCTCCATAACATATAGTCTGATATCCTCTAACATGGTGATGATTAGCTTTTTCCTTGCATCCCTGATGACACTATTAAAGCTCTCATACAATCCATTTTCCACTGCATCACACATCTTTCCTTCTTGAAAGAATGCTCTACTCCAAGATTTTGGGTTTGTTTCCATAAGGTAATCACAGGCTGCAGGATTAAGTACTTGAATTTCCTTCATGGCAGCATTGAATAAAGGCTCAGTGGATGCTTTGCTTGCCTTCCAAAACATGTTCTCATAGTGTACACCACTAAATCTTTTCCTAAAGTTGGCTACAATATGCCTTGCACATTGCCTATGTTCAGCAATAGGAAGCACTTCCTTAACAGCCTCTAACAACCCCTACATAATAATAGTCATATTTTAAACATCATGTAACTTAATTGTGAAATATATAAAATTTGTAGTATATGACATACCTTGTGTTGATCTGACATCAATGATAAACCAAAACCATCCTTTAGATGAAGGTCATCTTTTAGATTTTCCAAGAACCATTTCCAATTTTCTTTGTTTTCTACACATACAACTGCCCATGCAATTGGGAATATGTGATTATTAGCATCCCTTCCTACAGCAACAATTAGCTCTCCGGGAACATAAACCCTTTAAGAAACACCCATCCAAATTTATAATTCTTCTGCAGCTCCCTCTCCACCCTTGCTTGAGGGCATCAAAACAAATGTAAAACTTGCTAAAATAAGTCTTACCATCTAGCATAGCATTGACATCTATTTTGACTGTTGATCCAGGATTTGATCTTCTTATCTCCTCACCATATGACCATAGCTTTGCATAGTGATCCACTAATGTTCCCTCAATCAACTCAATTGCATACTTCTTAGCTCTTCTACACTGTCCCATACTTACATTTATCCCAAATTTCTCTTTAACCTCATCCCTAAGGAGCTTAACACTAACTTTTTGTTTCTGTAAGAATTCGGTGGTGTAATGGGTACCTATGCAAGCATAGTTGACAATTGAACCTAATTTGAAGTTTCTTGCACAGTTATGCTCATTTATGAGACTCTTAATTTGGAAAGATTTTTCCTCACTCATCTAAGATGCCCACAGTCTAAACTTGCAAGCACCGGAACAACATTTCACTAAAAGTCTCCTGCTATCATTTTTCTTGTAGCATAACTGATAACCATTTGCAACAGCATAGTTACACAACATGTGTTTCAGTTGTTTAGGATTCACAAATCTCATACCTGATACAGGCTTCTGTTTTTTCCAATGAACATTGTCATTATAAATAGTTTGGTCATTAGATATTACTTCATCATCGACTACATGCTCATATAGCTCTTCATGAGGAGGACTGTTAGGGGTAACTTGGTCATTTGGGCACAGTTTGCTCAAAAACTCATCATCTTTTGTCCTATTCATAGGAATACATTCATCAGGTTCATTGTCAACTTCCAAGTCAATGCCATCATCTTCCTTACCTTGCCAGTCCTTCGTACTACCTTCCAGATCCTCCATATCACCTTGATCATTCTCAACTTCAGTGTTAATGTCATCACCTTCCCCATCTTGCAACTCTTCCCTAGTGCCTTGCAAATCCTCCGTCACACCTTGCCTATGACCCAACATATCCTCAATTTCAATTCCATCATCCATATATTTACCACCTTGCACT